AATTTCAACATCCCAAGTGCATAACAGTGGCTCGACCGATCGTGTAATCTGAAGGAATGTGCATTCAAGCAAATTCTGCACCGTAAGTAAATAAATATCTTGCCGAGATGGATTTTATTTTAAAACGGAACCGGTTTGGGTTCAACTAGTTGCAGGAATTCTGCAGCCGTTGGCCGAATCGATATGAAATATGTTTCTTTTATCGGATAGAAACCCGTATCTGATGGTATTAAAAGTGTTGCACTTGAGCGATTATATTGACTTTCTTCTGCACCCAAAGCATTCTCTTTTGGAGCAACTCGGAAAAAACAAAAAAAAGATTTGTCTCGTTCTAGCAGTTAATAGTAGTAATGCTACTCGAACGGTTATTGATTGATTGATTCAATCAACGTTCTTTTCTATGAGTCGGAGGCTGCAAAATCCGACAAAAAATACCGTTGGATGATGCGTCAAACTAGACCCAGATCGTTCACGCCCAATCAATTTCGAACTCCATTAACGCAACTATTTTTAAGGCGAAATTTAATTAACCAAATCTTCTCTATTATTAACTACCGTCTCGTTATTTCCAGACTGAAAAACGAGAATATACTTAAATAATGAAACCTTGCGTGGCATTACGTACAGCTTAGGACATAAACGGTTCTTACAAATGGCCTATTACCCAAACGTGTCATTATGGATGATACCGTATCGAATATTCAAGGTATCGGAATTGCTATGGTTAAAGAGTACGCATCTGAACAATTTGGGAACGTCGCAGGTTATAAATATGTATTTAGTAAATTCTGCTCTTATCGGCCAGCTAAAAATAGCGCACAAATTTACAAATAAAATCCCATGTTCTACCCGCTACCCATGTATTAAGCTTTTTTCAAATGCAGCTCAATATGCAGCTACAGTCAGAAAGAAAAAAATATTCAATTAAAACTAAAAGTTAAACTGAACAGATGGGACTTAATTGAAGTGCGAAGCATACTTAGTAAAGCTAATTTTTCCATAAATTAATTAACAATAATTAATGCGATTTTCTGGCTAATGCCAAAAACCCTTCCATAATCACGTCCAAAATAAGTATTATTTTAACTTGCCTATACTTGAAATAAACCGATTTCATTGTATGTATGAGAAAACTTTTTTAATGACTTATTTTTTACAATTAGGTATTACTTATTTTTTCTTAAAAATTCTAACACTAAGCAATTAATAATTTAATCTTAAATATAGTAATCTGTATAAAAGTAGAAATAATACGTGCTGAACTACGTAAATCACACCTTTTTACGACTCAATTTCAAATGTACAAATGACTCAAAATGCAAATTACCATTGCAGAATATTATGTCATCCGGTATAATAAAACGCAAATATTCCGTTAAAGATAGGAATAAAACTTCATACAAAAGGGCCCATAATCTTTGGGAGAACATAAATTATAATGTAATAACAGTATTATAAGTCCAGGGGGGACCAGTTTATATATTTCTGGAAAAACAGTAAAATGTAAAAAAAACATCCAGAAACAGCCACATGTAAATCTTGCGATTACTCCAGACACACAAGACATGCTTTTTAAATTGGTCATTTCGCCGACATCAATGGAAAACAAACGCAAATAACTCAAATTTTCTAAAATAGAGCGACTTTTTCCCACTCGAAGCCGCGCAGTTCTTAGAACATTACGGATAAAGTGACCCATCTAGGAAATGCGGCGCAGTTAATATGAAGGAATCAAGTGGAGCACAGTTTTTTTCTTGGTCCGCACATAAAAGATATTTAGCCGAAAAAAAACGTCATTGCACCCAAAAATCAACAAAGAATACAAAATGTGCAAACTGTAGTCCAGCTGAATTGAAAGGCCTCGCCAATAAAGAACAAAAGAGCCAGGTAAAAGGTTTATATGCAAGCAGTTGACCACGCAAGCAAATAGTTTCGTAGAACACCGTTATCCATGCCATATTATTCCTATACTGGCCGGCGAATTTTGAAATTGCCTTATGCAATAAAAACATATGGTTATTAATATTCCCGTGTATCATGCAGTTTGTTAAATACAAAAAACCAGAATGTCTCCGTGAGCGAGCGTGAAAGTATTGGGTTCACTAGCCGGACTCCACACCTTAAAGCCCATTCCATAAACATTATTCAATTGTCACCTACGTAAAATTCTGATCTGATATTGACTTAAATTTGATCTGCATTGACTGCATAAAAAGCCATGAATCGTTCGGACACTCCCCTACTTTGGGTGTCGTTGATTCATAAAATGCTAAGAAGCCAAAAAACATGCTTCTTGGCCCTGTATTCAACAGATTCGCTTTTTTTCTCTCGGTTGCCATTCGAGTGGCAAGTGAAAGTTTTGCTAAAAATATACAATTAGAGCACAGTTGAATTGAGAATTAAATAGTTTCTGCCCCGATTTAAACATTTGAGGTACCATAGACAAATGTATGAGTGATTAAGGAGTTGTTAGTTGATTAGGATTTTTTAAACGCGAAAAGCATTTGGTTGACTAATGATCAATTTTGCCATTTAAATGCTTGCGCACTTACCTTTACAAATGGTCTTTTATGCCGTAGTTTCTGTTTGCATTATGCAAAACTATATGTTCATATGCATGTAATACAAGTTATACACTCGTGTAGATTACAACTATTAATTGTAGTCGTGGTAGTAGAAGCAGTAGTACTTTAGCTAAAAATAATCCAATTTTCAGCGGCAGGCATGGTTTGTGTAGTTTATGATGCATTTTATTGAATTAATTGGAATACGCGTGAGGTTTAAATATACACGATTAGCAGTAAAATTCAATAATTTTACGGATTTGCAAGGCCGCTGTGATTGAAGTGTTTACACTTTTTGACGAAACCAAGATTTAATCGGTGTGTTAACAGTGTTTAAAAGTAGGTGACATTTTAAAAAAATAATTTTTTACTAGGTCTATTTCTTCTTCTAGGTCGCTGTCTTCTTTATTCTATTTCTATTATTAATTAATTTCAACAAAAATTCAATGTATTCCTTTTTTAATCCTTTATCACTTCGTTCTTATAACGACTCGACTATGCCTGGCAATTCCTGTCATTTAAATTATTTCATTAATTACTTTTTTTGATACGTTATACTGTATTTTCATATATTCTGATAAATCCGATGTCATTAATAACGAGAAAAAATTGATAAATTAAAAATGACGATAACAAACAATCAGAGTGAAACCAATTCAATATTATCACTTTAATTTAGACTAAATAGTTATAAAAATTGACAGAAAATTTCTACGAAGTTTTGTTGAAACGGATTGTTTAAAAAAAATTGAAATATCAACATTTTCAAAGCTTTGCTTCAATGAGTCTAAGTACACATTAAAAATCTCGACCACCTTCAATAACCATCTGAAAATGTTAAAATTGTAGTTTTCAAGATAATGGAGTATGCAAATGTTTATAAAATTCGACGCAAAACTTTGATTACAAGTTAAAACTGTGGAACTTGATCACACTGTATCAATCAGCGTACCAAACTGCATTTCAATGTTTTGAAAGCATTTAATTTTTATTTCAATTCACTTTTGCAAGCATTCAAAGAAATAGAAAGAGATCGAAAAGTGTGTAAGTATTGTTTAATGTCATAAATGTCATCAACTCCAATAAATAATGAAGTCTGACAAGTGTCAACTGTCACTCGACAACGAATAATTTGTTTCGCAGCGCCTCCATCGGTAGTTGAACTCGCGAATTGTCAAAAAAATTGACAGGAAACTTCCACGAATTGTTCATTCTACTGATTCTACGAGGTTATGACCTGCTATGTTTTTATTTTGTTTTTTTATGCTAATAAATTATCTCGTTTAGTTAATGGAGAATTACTCAAAAATGACTGCTTGTATCAAAAAACATTTTAGATATTCGCGAGGGTGACCAAATGTGTGAGAAAACATTAAAAAATTCTCGGTTCTCACAAAGATTTTCGCGATTGTAAAACCGGACCTCCCGCAATAACCGCCAAAAATTAAAATTGTAATTTTCAGAAAAAAGAGAAGCTAAACTACGACATCCTGTACCAATTAAGTACCTGTAAGTTGTAACAATAGCGCTACTTTGCGCCCCAAAATAATTCTAGTAAAATATAATAAAGTACCTACCAACACCAAATAGTAAATAAAGAAGCTGAGTTTGCGAACACAGTTAATATTTTTTTACAACACAGCTTTTGTAGATTTTTTATTTTTTTCGCAAGTTTAAGTTTTTCGACTTTGAATCGAATAAATTGCAGGATAGCCATCCACATTTGATTGTGGTATCCATCAGTTTGAACCAATTTTAAATAAATTATCAAAATATCCTTAACCCAAACGAATCGCCTCTTATGATTAGAATTAAACATGAACAGCAAATAAAGCATTTAAAACGACGAAAATTATGGACAATTAAAAACAATGAAATGTTTGAAAAGCTCAGTAATGCCCATAGTAGCAACACTTTAACACATGTTTAAAAAGCCGCAACCATTAAAAAAACAATCTTCTAGGTGGTGAACAAACTACTGCAGTCTCTATGCACTTGACAAGACCTTTTAATGTTATGTTAAAAAGTGAAAAGGCAAAATGTAGAGAAAAAGCCTGTTAATACCTACAAACCGCATTTAGAACTGCGATGTTGTTCGATTGCCGAGTTGCAGTTTTATTAACAGTAAACAAAAGGACAAAAATGAGCAAAATGTGTAAAACTAGCGTTCAGCTGGGTTGAAGATAAGCGAAGAAATGCATACAAGCATGGCGTCTATCTCGTGCCGGACGCGTGGTCGCATTATCTAAAAGCAGTCAAAACCCGATAAAAGCTGCACATCTTAAGTAAAAGCCGATGATGTTACGTTGATGAAAGATAAGCTAATCTATTCCAATAACCCACAACAGTTTGGACTAGAACTATGACGTAGTATCATCTAGTTGTCAAAATCATGTGGACGCCAGAAACGCGGGTAAATCATGCGGTTGGACTTACTTCGCAATGTTTCCCATGATTTCCTTCTTTTCGTCGCCCGTTTCCTCGAAAAGGACTCCGTCCGAGTCAATGTACATGGCCATGGCAATGTTTTTTCACTCACCGATTGGGTCGAAGGAAAGTTCAGAAAAAACCGGGTTAAATCACAATTAAAATACGGAGCGCGGGATAACCAAACACTACGTAAGCCTCACAGCGGTTTTCTGCGAGCGCGGGAAACAGCTGAGAGCCGGTTGACGCCAACGTTCGATTCATACGCAAAACGTCCCTCACTTTTTAATTTCCGAGATTAATCCTGACTTTTACACATTACCAGTTGAATTTGATGTCTGGATGGCGGATGTCTCTGAAAAAAAACCGATATTTTGCCGTAAACAAGGCGATTTTGGCAAGAAAGTGTGGAACTATTTTCGACGCGGAGGAATTACAGTCGGCTCGTAGCGTATTTGGAACGTATCGTCTGCCAGCTGTAGCGTACGCCCCGCCCGACTACGAACCATCAAAATGCGGCATTGCCAACTATCATACGGCTTTCCTTATGTTTCTTTTGCTACAAGGGGTATTGGGAAAGTACACAGAACTGAAATTTGGCGCCCAACTAGTTACATCCGAACTGGACTGGATATCAATTTTTCATATCCACTTCGATCCTCAGATGTACAGGCGTCCAATGTATTGGTTGATATCTCTATTTCTTTATTAGGAGAAGTATTAGATTGTATATACTGTATAGAGTATTCTTCACACATGTTTTTTTCTTTGCAATAATTCGACTAATGGCTCGGTACAAATGTTTATTAAGTGGGATTATTTATTTTACAAGCAAAATCTCATCTACAGGGTCTTGAATAAAACTTTAAACTTCTGAAACTGTGCACTCTCTAAATAAAATCTCAAAGAGAAAATACATACATACTCTCTGACTATTCTTTAATTTATGACAATATTAAATATAATGTAATAAGAAAATATGTTCTTATTAGTTGACTCGCGTATCTAACAGTTGAAAATTCTTATTTTTTTATAGGCATTAAGAAATGTTTTGGTAAAGTGCTTTCTGTTTGTCGATAGTATATCTAAAATGAACCTGTTGCGAAGAATCTATGAAAAAATATATTAATTAAAACTGTACATTTCAATGCAAAAAATAACCGAAGCACAATTAAGAAATAGATAAGTTCTATATTGTTGAGGCGGATTCATTTTTTTACAAACTTCTTTTTCGGTATTTCGCCTCAAAAATTTTTGTTGAGACAGAATTTCCTCTTCTTTTATTACAGATTGATAAATAGTGCTCCTATTTCGCAATAAGAACGGATTATTTATCAAAAAGTAATCAAGAACTATCACCTAGAGGGTATCCTGCGACACACTTAG